ATAATTAGCTTATTAATTTATTATTAAATTACTATAAAATTAGCTTTATAAAGCTTATGAAGTAATTTATTTATTAATCTATTAAAGATTTGTTTCTTATTAAATATTATATTACGTATAGTAAAAACCTTATTTTACGCTAGATACTAGACGTAATATAAATTACTAGATATATATTTAATAAGGAATCTAATCTATATATAGGTAGTAAGCTTTTACTAGTAGTTTTATAATAGTTATATATTTACTATTAGCGTATACGCTTAGTAGCTATAGGCTTATAGATATAAAAGATCTAGCTTTACTATTAGTAAAAGCTTAGTGTGCTTATTAAGTATAAAATATAAGTAAAATAATTAATATAGGGATTTCTACCCCTAAGCTACTAATAGTGTTTAATTATAAAGGTATATAGCTATAGTTATAATTTTAGGCTATAGAACTTTAGGTAATTTTATATTAATCTATATATATTACGCCTTAAGTTTAATAATTATAGTAATTTACTTAGCGCTACTGTTTTAAGCCTAGGTATTTACTACTAACAGCTTAATAGAGATTTTATAATTAAAGAGCGTATCTATAAGTCGCTTAAGGCGTAGGATTTCTTAGTTAGTCTTAATAACTTTTAGTGTAATTAAATATTTAGTTTTTAGTATTATAAGAAAGCCCCTTATTATTAAGTTAATAGTATTTTAGTAGTAGCTATATAGGTAGAAATCCTATATAAGGCCTGTTACCTAATCTAAGATTATTATTACTAAGTAGTATTCTATATAGCCTTATTTAAGATTATAAAAGTCTAGCGCTAGGTAATTACCTAGCGCTATATTTATAATAGATTTATAAGACTAGTAGTAAATCTACTGCCTTATCTTACTAAGACTATATAAATTATAGTCTTATATTATTATAGCGTTAACTTAGGTTAAATATACTTTCTAAGTAGTATTTATAATCCTTTATAGAGCCTTAGCACCTAGGTAGCTAAGACGCTTATACTATATTATTATGTTACTATAAAGTAGTTATTACTATATTAACGTTATATATTTATTTCTTACTTATAGGGTTAGTAGTAAATTATTAGTAAAGTGTATAGTAAAAGCGCCTTTATTTTCTTAGCTATAGCTGCGTTACTTATAATATTTAAGTACTTATTAGTTAGCTTGTTCTTTAATATAGCCTATAAAGCTGTAATCTACACGCCTTAGGTAATTATTACCTAGGCTTATATCTTACTATATACCTTACTAGCGTAGCCTTATAAAAGAAATAAGTAATATAGTAAATATGCTATAATATATTACGTTATATATATAAAGCTTTATTAGTAAGCTATTAGCGCCCTTTAAAGTAATCTCTATAGTACTATATCTTTTAATTACTACTTAGGTAGTATTAGCCTAAATATAGTTACTAATTAGGGCTACTACTAATATAATAAACTATAATATATAGTTAAATATATAGTTAATAATACCTAAATTAAGTAAGGCTAAATTACCTAGCTTATAGCCTTATAAAGTAGTATAAAAAGCTACCTTTATATAGTATTTACTATATAGTTAATATAACTTAGCTTTAATTCTCTACACTTATTTAGTAAGGTTAGGATTACTTATAATATACTTATTAATTTATTACTAACGTTATATATTTACTTACTAATTATTAGGCCTTTATAACTTATTTATAAAGTAGTAAAGTTATAATAGATAGGTACTAAAGTATATAAGGTATTTTACTTTTTTACTTACACTTTATTAGTAGTAATACCTCTTATTATTAAATTTACTATTCTTTACTACGCCTTTAGCGTATATTAGGCTATTATTATTATTACCTCTAGTTAAGCTAAATACGCTATAGCCTGCTTAGCTATAATATAGTAAGTTATTAGTAAGGGCTTTAACCCTCTCTAGCGCTATCTTATAAAGAGACTACTAGTTAAGATTATTCTAATTACTTATTATTTTACTTATTACTATATATAAATCTAGCTAGGCGCTAAGTAAACTGTTTTATAAAGCAGTAGTAAGGTTATTAAACTAAATTAATAGCTATTAGTAGTTAGGTAAATTAACTTATACTAATTTACTATAGGCTATATTCTATTTATTAAGCTATATAGTAAGATCTTTTTTAGTAGTTAGGGCCTTTTACTAGGCTTTTACTAACACTTTACTATATTTATTATAGGCGTACTTTACGCGCTCTTCTTTAGTTATTCCTACTACTACACTAAGCTTATTAAGCTATTTAGCTAGTAATTTATTAGATTTATAATATCTTTCTTAAAGATCTATAGATATAGTAGATTTAACTATATTAGCTACGTCTTTAATATCCTTTTACTAAGTAGTATACTTACGTACTTCCTTATAATAGTAGCTTATCTAGCTATTTAAGTATATAAGATTATATAAGTTAAAATTATCTAGCGTTATTACATGTTTAGTTTTATATATAAGCCTATTAGGTATAGTTATAATAGCCTTACTTCTTACTATATATAGCTATATAGTTACTTACTAAGATATCCTAATAATTACTATAGCTATAGTAACCTCTTAGTAAGTAGTAAGCTTATCCTTAGTTAAGGCGTATAGATATTATATTATAAGCAGCTTTATTAGTTTCTTTAAATATATCTTAAGGATTAATTAGTCTACTACTATAACCTCTAGGTTAATATACTCCTAGAGATTATAACGCTTTACCTTTACTTAGATAGCGTTAAGCTATATAAACTAATTACTATATAATTATAAGATAGTTACCTTATTATTATAGTTCTTATTAATTATTATAATAGTATTTAATTAGTAAATAAGTATATTAGTTATTATAGATATATATATTAGACTATTAATTCTTAAATTATAAGGATTATAATAGTTACTTAATTAATTATATAATATGTTATATATATATAGTTAAGATCCTATAGGAGTAAGAAACTCCCCTTATTTCTTAGTTAAGAAATCCTAGAGAAATCCTAGCTATATAATTAGTAGATTTACCCTAAAAGTAAGGCCTTTTTACTACCTATTCCCTAACAATTTGCCGTAAGGTAACTATATATTTACTAGTTAATTTATATATAATTCTACCACATTTAACAAAAGGTAACACTTAGCTACTAATTTAGTTAAAAGAAAAAGTTATAATTACTATAGGCTACACCTAGCTAATAATATAATATTAGAAGTATATAAAGGTAAAATTAGTAAAAGCTATTTACTTATAAATACTATATTAAAAGTAAATTACTTAGGTAGTTCTTACTTAACTACTTTATAACTAGTCCTACTAGTAAGATCTAATTTAGATAAGAACTTATAGAAGTCTATTTACTTATAATCTTATATAGGCTATTACTACTATAGTAAGATAAAAACTTAGTAAAATAAAAATCTTAATAATTAAAAAAAAAAAGTTAAAAAATAAAAAAAAAAAAAACTTAAAAAAACTTAGGTATAAAAAAAATAATTATACTAAATATTATAAAGGTTATTAGTAAGTAAGTAGTTAATAAAAAAAAGACTTCTCTAAAAGTAATAAAGTTAATAGTAGTAATAGTAGTTATTATATAGTAAATATAAGGCTTAAAGGGTTATTTACTAAGTATTATAAGATCCTAAGTACTAATAATCTTTAGGCTAGTTAGTACTTTAATACTTTAATCTAAGCTGCTATAGTAAGTAAAGTATTATAGCCTCTTCTAATAATCCTTACTAATCTATAGTAGTAGTAACTATAAAGTTAACTACTAATTAGTATTAGTATTATAAGGATTATAATTATAAAGTAGTAATAGTTTAATTAACTACTAGTTACTTATTAAGATAGATTAAAAAAGAAGAAGAAGTTATTACTGTAGATATTTATAGTGGTGTAAGTGAGCCGCTAAGGTGAGTCACGTGATGGTAAATCACGTGACCATGGATTGGCTCCACTATTGAACAGTTAAATATCCCGACACATCTTTTTCCTAGCGCATCCTGGCAGATCCGACGACAAGCTCTCCTCGCGGGTTTTTGCCGAAATCTGCTCGTCCACCTTCGCGCCGAAGCTCCTGCCATGCAAAGACGTCAAGCTCACGGGGCCCTTCTCGGCACCGCTCCGCCGGAAGCCCTGGCTCGTTGACGCGCGCGGTGACAGGTTGGCTTCCAAACACCTGATCCAAGCATCCCCCGTACAGCACATGTTCGTCCGCCGGCAGCTCACGGACCTCATGGGCTCGGTGGGCCAAGAGGTCGGCCACGCGCCCCGGTTCCTGCCCCTCCACCTCTTCCTGGGCGATGGCCTCCTGGGGCCGGAGCGTCTCGTCTCGGGTTTCCTCCGGTACTGCACCCGTCTCCACTTGGATCAGTTCCTGATCAGCTTCGCCGTGTGCCCGTCGGGCCGGACACCCGCGGATGACCTGTTCCCCGGCGCGGCCGTCACTCCGATCCCGACCGAGAACACGGCGACGTCTCGTCTCCGTCGCCCTCTCAGGCGGCGGCTGACACCGGCGACCCAGAGGCGCTGGAGTGCTGGCCCGTGTTCACCGGCCTGGACCCGGGCGGCTGGGTCCTTGTCGTGTCGCACGAATAGTACGTGGGCCCCAAGACACTTAGCCGCAGGGCCAACCTCGTGCGGCGTCGCATATCTACGGACGCGGCTTTTGGCGTGCCCGTGGTACGATACGTATCGTGATGCCCTCATGGGCATTACGCTCATGTATGGGGCCGGCTGGAATACGGTTAGGATTTATCTGGAACAGAGATGTCAAATGTGGCGAAAGTACGGAGTATACAAGCAACTAATTGTCAAATTGACACTATTACTGCTTCACGATCGCGATCCCTGAGATACCAACAATATGTCATTTTTTTGTCGCGATAAGCTGTGCGTATTACGTGTTGTGGGCGGTAACGCCTTCACTGCCAATCGCGACAATAAGGCATCAGCATTTTAGTAGGGAGGAGTTCCTACTTAGCCTAAATAGAATCGGTAATGAGGTCCCGTACGGCGCCGGTGTGGCCTTGGCAACAGAAGTCGGTTAGCGAGTTTATTGATATTACGACCTTAAACTTTGAGCAGGGGGTGCCGACACAATGGTATTAATATTGATTGGTGCCCTCATAGAAAATCCGTCGCTCTATCTTCAAGTCCGCGTGATAATTGCGTGATCAGACGCTTCTAACGGGTTTGATTTGTTACAATTTCATGCTGTTGGAAGTCTCGAGACGCATTCGAGAGGATCCTGGATACTACCTTCCAGAAACAGTAACGGTGGAGATCTCGACTTGGGTTGGTGTTGAAACTAAGCTGAGCCGCAACCTGCATTTGAGCCCGTGACACTGGGCTTCATAGCCGACATTCCTGTTTGTTTGGAAAACAGACTGTCGCAATGTGGGCAATACGATTAATATCCGGAGCATATCAGAGGAAGTTCGGATAACCCGGAATCCTAATAAGATAGGCCACTGCCCCCCTTCCAACTGCCCTCTTTTCTCCCCTTCTTCGGACAACATAGATATCATCAGTCAGAGACTGTTGTTCCAACCTGCCGACAGGCTGATGCGGGGATGCTCGTATCAACTTCCCTGTGAAACCAACACATACCTTTGTTAATTCATCCATCCATGTGTGTACTTTTTTCACAATTTCCTCCAAGGAAACCACAAGTCCCAACGTCTTGAGAATGACACTGTCGGGATATTCAGCTGATGGTGAAGCCGATCCATGGTCACGTGATCTACAATCACGTGACTCACCTTAGCGGCTCACTTACACCACTACAAATACCTACAGCAACAACTTCTTCTTCTTTTTCTAATTATCTATCTTAATAAGTAACTAGTAGTTAATTAAACTATTACTACTTTATAATTATAATCCCTATAATACTAATACTAATTAGTAGTTAACTTTATAGTTACTACTACTATAAATTAGTAAGAATTATTAGAAGAGGCTATAATACTTTACTTACTATAGTAGCTTAAATTAAAATATTAAAGTGCTAACTAGCTTAAAGATTATTAGTACCTAAGATCTTATAATACCTAGTAAATAACCTTTTAAGCCTTATATTTACTATATAATAACTACTATTACTACTATTAACTTTATTACTTTTAAAAAAGTCTTTTTTTTTATATACTACTTACTTACTAATAACTTTTATAGTATTTAGTATAATTATTTTTTTTATACCTAAGTTTTTTTAAGTTTTTTTTTTTTTATCTTTTAACTTTTTTTTTTAATTATTAAGATTTTTATTTTACTAAGTTTTTATTTTACTATAGTAGTAATAGCCTATATAAGATTATAAGTAAATAGACTTCTATAAGTTTTTATTTAAATAAGATCTTATTAGTAAAACTAGCTATAAAGTAGCTAAGTAAGAACTACCTAAGTAATTTACTTTTAATATAGTATTTATAAGTAAATAGCTTTTACTAATCTTACTTTTATATACTTCTAATATTATATTATTAGTTAGGTATAGCCTATAGTAATTATAACTTTTTCTTTTAACTAAATTAGTAACTAAGTGTTACCCTTAGTAAGTATACCTCTTTTTATTCTTTAAGTAAGGTAAAAAAGGTAAAAGTTACTTATATTACTTTAATTTACTTACTTTTTTTTATCTTTTAAATACTTATTAATAACTATACTATTTTTTTTATTTTCTCTTTTTCTTTAAGTAAGATATAGTTATTAGTAACTAATATAACTTTTACTTAACTTTACTATCTTAATTAATTTAAAAAAACTACTTATTATTTACTTTTAAGTAAAGTATATAACTTTAACTTTTTACCTTTTTTTTTTTTAAAAAATCTTTAACTATAGTATCCTACTTACTAAAAAGTAAGGTCTGTATACGTCTTTTTTTAAAGATAGTATATATCTCCTTTTATTCTTTAAGTAAGATCTAGCGTAAGGCCTCCCTAAAGCTATCTCTTTATATTACTAAAGCGTAAGGCCTCCCTAAAGCTATCTCTTTATATTACTAAAGCGTAAGGCCTCCTTAGAGCTATCTCTTTACATTACTAAAGCCTCCCTAAAGCTATTTACTACTATCTATTTATTTATTATTTTATCCCTTTATTTACTTTATCTTTTACTTATACCTCCTTATATTATATTATTTATTTACTGATCTTATTATTATTTATACTAATAGTAGTAATTCCTTTAATATATAGATTTACTTTTAACCTTATAAGTAAAAAGTAAGTGCTTATATTTAAGAGGTTAGTAAGGCTAATAAAAGGTAATAATAGTAAAAAAAAGACTAAGTAAAAAGTAAAGTAAACTATAGACACTAGCTAGAGTAAAGAAGTATATCTATCTATAGGATATTAAGGATTTATATCTTATTCTAAAGTGTAGCTAGCCTTTTATTATTATATAACTATAAAGTATAACTAATTTAGCTAATATTCCTAATAGCCTTACTTAAGTTAAGTAATATAACGCCTTAAGCACTATTATTATACTTTAAATAATATAGTATAGCTTTATATAGCTATATAGTTAATAGATATAAAGATATACTACTAAAGACTTTAAAAAATAGTTACTTAATATTTTTAAAAGTACTACCTATAAAACTATTATTAAATTTAGAGACTACTTAATACGTAGGGGTATATAGGTATTAATAGTAAAGTTACTAACTATTACTAAATAAATTTACTATACCCTTAAGGCTAATAATCTAAAGGCGTAAACACTTAAGGATATTAAAGAAGAAAAAAAAAAAGTAAGGATTTTTACTTAAAGATTAATAAACCTAACTTTATATAAGATATTATAGACCTACTACTAGAAATAATATTAATATAAGATTAACTAGGCCCTTCTTATATTATTACCCCCTTAGTATAAGTTACTTAAGTCTAAAAAGGTTAATAAAGGCTTATTAATCTAGCCTTATTATATAATAACCTAAATTTTATTTCTTTACTATTAAAGTAAGTAAGTAACGCTTACCTTTACTTATTAGTTATACTAGCTACTACTATATTACTTATAACTTACTAACTTACTAACCTTATTAAATTATACCTTAATAAGATAAAGTATAGTAAAAAGGTATATAAGTTACTTAAATTAAAGCTTATAATCTTTTATAACTACTATATAAAAGCTAGGATCTAGTAAAAGCACTTTATAAGCGCCTACTTTATTATACTTAAAGGTAAAGCTATAAAGTACTATACTAACTATCTTTATAACTAGACTAACTTTATTACTATAGTTATATAAATAAGGGGTAATTTTAAGAATAAAGAGACCTTTTAGGCCTGCCTTACTAAGCTATAAAGGACTAATTTAATAAGGACTATCTTAAATAATTTAAATAAAAGTAAGGCTAAATACCTAAAGTTACTTATTAAGAGAGTAACTACCTTTATAAGAATAGTTATAAAGATTAGTACCTTATCTAGCGTAGCCCTCTATAACTAATTACTTAACTCCTGCTATAGGATAAAAAAGTACTTTCTTACCTTTTTTAATTTATCTTTAATATTTACTAGTATATATAGCTAGCTTTAATTAGTAATTAGTAATATAATATAATTTAAATAACCTATATATTAATACCTAACTAAAAAAGTAAATAATTAATACTAAACTAACTATACTTATAATAGCTAGTAAAGTTACTAGTAATTTAGCTAATATAACTATAGCTATAGTAACCTTATACTATAGCGCCCTTTTAATAGTAATTTATAGTAATAAGCACCTCTTTTACCTTTATTATTATTCTTAAAGAAGTACTATATATATAGTAAGGCTAACTATTAGTTAATAAGGCACTTAAAAGACAAAAGGTAACAAGCCTACTATAAGTATAAAGAGCAGTATCTAATAGACTCTTTACCTAAAGCCTTTAACTACTTTATAACTAACTTTAAGGGATATAAGCTATTTACTTTAAATAAGAAAGGTAACTATATAAAAAGTAATAAAGATAAAGAATTAAGCACTACGTTTTATACATTAATAATATTCTTTAACTTATTTACTATTAATAGGCCTGCTTTCTTTTTATTACTATATAACTAATTTATAACTTATTTTCTTATAAAAGATAACTCCTTATATAAGAATCTATATAATAATAAGCTACCTAATATAGACGTCTTTACTCTTAATAAGTAATATTTATTTATCTTATTCTATAGTATTATACCTAACTTTAGCGTAGCTAAATATTTAATAGCTAGATATAAGTAGTATTTTACTTTTTACTACTAAATAAAAGGAAATCTAGCTATAGATAAGTTATAAATAGGTAAAGTAAAAATCTACTTTAGTAGTAGTAACTACTTTAAATTATAAGAGGTAATTAATATACTAACCCCCTTTAATATACTAACCTTCTATATAATACTATTAAATACCCTATTTCTACTTTACCTTATAGATATAGATTAGTATAGTATTAAATTTAATAACCTTACTAATAAGCTAATCTAAGGTAATACTATTATACCTACTGTCTATAAATAAGGCTATATATAGATACTACTTAATTAATATAAGTAAAGTATTACTTACTACTTTCTTATAGATAATAAGTTATAGTAAATTTATTATTACTTTAGCTACTTATTAGTCTAAAGGCTCTATTACGTCCTCTAATAATTTAGTAATAAGGTTAAGATTATAGACTTAAAGAAATTAACTAAGGTCTGCTATTACTACTAGAT